CTGTTTTTGGATGTTATTTAGAGTTTAAAATAAGGAATAAAAGAGCCCGAGTGGGCATGAAGTTGAAGACTGGAATAATTCTGTACCTTGGTTTTATGGAATAAGAAGTTTTATTAATGACAAGTTCAAGTACAAACTTCAACAAAATGATAGGCCAACAAAACCTAAGTGGGCAATCCAATCCTTACAAATTATCCAAAACATAAATCCCGATGTGATTAAATAAGAAAATAACAGCCTGCAGCTTCAGCAAAAGCCCACAAAGATCATCAAAATGCAAGAAGCAGCAAAGAGTTTCTAAGAAGCAGTCACCAAGCACCTTGACAGCATAATCAAACAATTCACCGAGAAGTGAGTACTTGCTACAGAAATCCATCCCAGAAAAGCAGTCAGCATAAGAATTGAAACATCAAACTGTGGCCCCATCAAGTAAATTAAAACCATTCTACACTCCAACCCAAGCTACCAAATTCTTGATTCGTATTAATCTAGCTTTAAAAAAACTTATCTGCCATTGAATTGCTGTCTCTAGGTACATGATGAAGTATATCAACCTGACCAATTTGATTTCTTAATAAAACAACATGGTTAGAAAAGTTCTGCAATAGCCAAGGCAGCAGAAAGATCTGTTGCTCAAAGAACAGCATTAGGAGAATCACTTTCAATAATCAAAAGATGTGAATTAGCTTGATCTTCTTCAGATTTTAATACATAAAAAGGGATGTGAGTTAGCCAAGTGCAAGTGCAAGTAACTCAACGTGGTTAGAATCTGCACTACCAGTGGATTTTCAGTACAAGCCTTGAACATTTCCATGGTGATCAGTAGCACCCTACAATACTAGCAGGTCTAGATTCCCTACAATACTAGCAGGTCTAGATTCCCAGCCATCCACGTTAAATCTGAATTAGCCAGGAGAAGGGGGAGATCATGTGGCCTTTTTTATCCTCATCTCGGAGTTTTACTGATGACACGCACAAGTAGGATTGGTGACAAAGTCATCAAAAATGAAAGTAACATGAGACACTTTTGCTTTGAGCCACCATGCCGACCAAATCTTTAAAGCCATCCAAGTTGTTTTAGTTTGTAGATCCCTAGGTTCCATTTTTCATAGGATGAAAGTGGAGTTTACATATTCAGAAGATCAAAGAGAGAACATTCTGCTATAAATAGAACCAAACCCAGTAACGTCAACGACAAATCATTACAGTTTGTTACTGTTGAAGTCAAGGCTCTGCCGCCCTAGTGACGAACTCCCTTGGTGCAAAAAGTTTCTTTTTTTTCTTTTGTGTTAAAGCACTGATGACGGCATGGGATACTTTTCTGCACTGCCATATTTCATGCCAGACCTGCTGGTATGGCTTTCTAAAGTCTTTTTGTTACTTTAGCTCAACTTGTTCCTAGTTTTATGGAAACTTTTAAGTATTATATGTTACGTAACTAAACCAATGACTTATCATGTCCTTGGCTTTGTATAAAAGAACCTCAATGCAATGACAAGTAACGTTCTTTTTGTTTTTTCCATTCTCTGCTCTGTTTCTGGTTTAGCAAGCTGAGCATAGCATTTCATCAAACACTTGTTGTGCACAGCTTCTTCAACAGCTACAAGCATTTGCTACCCTTCAAAAGCAAGAGATTTTATTAAACAACAAAATCATAATCCAGAAGCCTACAAAACATATAACATTGGGCAAGAGGATTAGTTAAACCCTAATCACCCATGAGATGTAGAAGCTAATGCTTTGCTGCGCTGGTGGAAATAAACAAGCATCTTATCAGTTGGTGGTAGTTTGTCTTTGATCACTGGATGATTCAGGAACCTGTTGATCCAGGCAGTGATGGCTGGAAATTTGATTGGGTTCAGAATTTCCATGGATCCAATTTCTTCCCATACTGGAAGGCAGTAATCCAACCCAATATAATGTCCAAATACCCAATGCTCTCCCCTCCAAAGAACTGCGGCTTCCCTTCAAGTTCTCCCTCTATTTTCTCCATGGCTTCTATGGTTTGTTCCAAAGCCTTTTGCTTTTCCTCTCCTTGGGAGCACAAAGCATTCCATGCACCTCTCAAAATCTATATTTCGATGCAAGGAAATATATTAAAATTCAGACCAAGAAACCGAAAAAGATTAATAAAACAACAATGCTAGAAGTAATTGGTACCTTCTCTTCAGCAAATTTAGCCCAAAATCTAGCCAATGCTCGTTGGTAAGGATCTTGAGGCAGCAATGGATTTTGCTTCCATGTTTCATCAATATATTCAAGAATAACAAAGGATTCTGCAATCGCTTTCCCATCATGAACCAGCACCGGGACCTTCTTATGAACTGGGTTCAGTTCCATAAGCAAGGTGCTCTTATTAAAGATGTCTTCTTCTATGTAGTCGTACTTAACACCCTTGATTTCCAATGCCCATTTGACCCTAAACACAGGTGGGCTAACCCAGAACCCCAAAAGCTTCACCTCTTCGGTTGCCATAAGAATTTCTTGATCTTGGTGCAAGCTCCTCACTGGTTCTTGTATTTATACAAGTCATTGCTAGTATACAAATTGAACACGACGATTGAACATGGCACTTTTTGACAAAAAGGGTCCTGCCCATTGGCAGCAATAAATCAATTAATGTCGCATCAAAGCTCCTTGTATATATATATATATATTAATCTAGGATGGCGAAATCTGGAATGGGTATGTAAAATCCAAATTACAACTTCCTGACATTTGTTTGAAATCCGTTGCATATGGCATTATTTTGTAAAAGTTTCATTTGAATATGAGTGGCTAAAGCCTAAAGTCCAAAACAATCAAAGGAAACTTATTCACTCTGAGACTAAGTCCAATACAATTTACAATAGTAGTCTATTAGGTTATGCATGACTCAATAAAGGGGCAACCAACGTCATGCATGACTGATGATCAACTTACGGGGAAATATTTCAAGATTAATGTCAACAGGAAAGACTATTCTATAAAAGGAATCTCACATTTAAGTCAAGATTTGGAGATTGATACATGATTTCCATACTTAAGAGAATAAAGTTCAAATTCTTATTTTTCAAATAAAAAGAAGGATTTCTCTTTCCAATTAATTAATTAAAAATAAAAGAACAACCTAAATTTGAAAAGATTAAGTTTATTTGACTATTATACTTTTATTACTCTTAAAAGTACAAAAATAAAATAAGATTAGAAGGTGCATCTAGTTACAAAATCACATCCTAATACTTATCACCCTTCAAATGCTCTTTTCGAAGCAAGAGATTTTGTTAAACTACAAAACATATAACATTTGACAAGAGGATTAGTTAAACCCTAATCACCCATTAGCAGTAGAAGCTAATGCTTCGCTGCGCTGGTGGAAGTAAACAAGCATCTTATCAGTTGGTGGTAGTTTGTCTTTGATCACTGGATGATTCAGGAACCTGTTGATCCAGGCAGTGATGGCTGGAAATTTGATTGGGTTCAGAATTTCCATGGATCCAACTTCTTCCCATACTGGAAGGCAGTAAGAGATCCAACCCAATATAATGTCCAAATACCCAATGCTCTCCCCTCCAAAGAACTGCTGCTTCCCTTCAAGTTCTCCCTCTATTTTCGCCATGGCTTCTATGGTTTGTCGCAAAGCCTTTTGCTTTTCCTCTCCTCGGGAGCACAAAGCATTCCATGCACCTTCAAAGATCTATATTTCCATGAAAAATATTTATTAAAATTGTTAGAAAGAAAAAAAAAAGAAAAAGAAAAAGAGATTCTTGTATATGTCAAGATTAATATAACAATAATGCTAGAAGTAATTGGTACCTTCTCTTCAGCAAATTTAGCCCAAAATCTAGCCAGTGCTCTTTCGTAAGGATCTTGAGGCAGCAATGGATTTTGCTTCCATGCTTCATCAATATATTCAAGAATAACAAAGGATTCTGCAATCGCTTTCCCATCATGAACCAGCACTGGAACCTTCTTATGAACTGGGTTCAATTCCATGAGCAAGGTGCTCTTATTAAAGATATCTTCTTCTATGTACTCGTACTTAACACCTTTGATTTTCAGTGCCCATTCGACCCTAAGCGCAAATGGGCTAACCCAGAATCCCAAAAGTTTCACCTCTTCGGTTGCCATAAGAATTACTTGCTCTTGTTTACAATCTCCTAACTGGTCTTCTGCATTTATATAAGCCATTGCCAGTATACAAATTGAATTCTATGATGGAACATTGGCACTTTTTTGACAAAATGGAACTTTCCCACAGGCTGGCAACCAATCCATGTCGCATCAAAGCACTTTGAGACTAGTCTAATTAAGTAGAAGGTTATTACGTTATGCATGACTCAATCCTGAGAAGAAACCAACGTCATGCATGACTCAATCCTGAGAAGAAACCAACGTCATGCATGATCAAAATCTGTGTTATATATAATTATTAATTCTTTTTAATCAAATATAATTTTGATTTTTATTATTTACATTTATTTAATTTTTATATCGATTTTTAAAGAAACAAATAATAGAAATAAGTGCTTTTTTAAAAAAAGAAATACTAACCTAATAAACAGTCCAAACTCAATTTCGGACCAGTACTGAACCCTCCTTAAAGCCCAGCCCACAATCGCTCCATGGATTTACAATTGAAACTAGTGAAGGATCACTTATGTGTTATGGCCCAAAGTTTGTTTTTTGACATTATAAAATTACAAGAACATGTTTCTGATGCTGCCATACATCAAATTCCAAATCAAACAAGGACTGCAGCATAAGGTATGGAAATTGGGATTGGAAGGACTTAAATTAAATGTCTAATTTCATTTTCTGAGGTTGTGGTACAAAAATATAGATCAATGTCGTCTATATTTGATACTTTATTTTATGTATTTTTTTAAATATTAATTTACTTGATTTCGTTTATCAAAAATTAAAGGAAAGTATCTTGATTAGAAAAGAAATTAAAGGATGAAATAATCTCAAAAATAATTATTAAATAAACCAATTAAATTTATTATTGGACATAGGATTAATACTGAAGAGGTTTCCAATCCTAGAAGGAAAGGTGGGGCAAGGGGTCATCTAGCTAGCTAGAAACGAGTTTCAGCTTTAAGGGTCTATTGCTATGGTACCACTGTACCAAAATGATCATAACTCACAAAGATTTTTCATGAGTTGTAAAGCAAAGCTTGAATTAGAATGAGTGATGCTTTCCTTAGCAAAAGCGACAAGTTATTTGCAATCTTTACAAGTTGGAAAGGCAAGTCCCAAGTCCACCTTACCATTCACAACAAAGTTGTGGAGAGCCAAAGAGGGACCCAAGTAAACAAATGAAATTAGCACAGCGGACATCACACATGGTTGGGACATGGAAGGTCTTTATCAGTGTAAAAGGTCGAGCCTGAATTGCTCCATTTCAACAAGATTCGCTCTTGCTTTTTGATTAACTGTTGACCTTAAAGGCTTCTCCCCATAGTATTTTTTGGATGCCATTTGTATGACAAGAAAAAGTTCCTTGTAGGTAAACTCCAGTACCTGCTCCATATCTGATTGAATGCAGGCTGCTTGAGTACAGAACTGAACCTGATGGATTTGGGTCAACAACTGCCATGGTGGGTCATTTTAGTTAATTATAAACAAATAAACTTACTAATCAAAGTTTGCAGTGGTCATCCAAAGGCTAACAGGGTCAAGGAAGGAGCTTATCTAATCCACAAGTGTGTCCTGGAAAAAACTGCATGGAAAGATTCATTGAGTCCAACCGGAATATCTGGCTTTGTCTTATCTTTTTCCTTATCTAATTAATGAATCGGTGGGGCTTAAAAACCTACCACAGCAAGGCCGACCGCTGGCAGCCGAGGGTATTGTCTGTTGAATGGATTAATGGCCTACGGCAGCAAGATTGTGGAGATCTTTTTACTCTAATTGTTTGCATTAGTGGTTGAAGAAAAGAAATGAAGAATGGTCGGTGCCAATAACTTTTTAAATCCCCCTAATTAAACAATCTTGCCTCTTTTTTTTTTTAACTGACATAGCGAATTAGTTTGAAAATAAAAACAAGTATTTGACAGAGCTTTTAAAATTAATAATCAAGTTTAAAAACTTATACTCAAAATTTAAAAAAAATATATAATATCATTCAATAATTCAAAAAAAAATAAATTATCTAAAAACTAAGCGTAAATATGTTATTTATAATAACTTAATCTTAATTGATCTAAATTGGTAATACAAGTAAAGTAAATGAAAATAAAAAAATATTCTACACCAGACTTCATTGAAATATAAAAAATTTATCATAGACTTTTCTAAAATACAAAAAAAAAGTAAGTTAGTAACCCATATTTACTTGTTGATTAAGTAAAATAAAATTAAAAAATATTTAAATATTAAATCTTAAATAAAAATATCTATGTCATTTACCATGAAAGCACGAAAGGATTAACAATGATTATCAAATCAAACAAGAGATTATGTTGCTTCCAGCGGGGGGAAACTTCACAAAGTGTGTCGGTTAGCTCTAGGCTCACCTAGCCTTATCTATAAGTCTATTTCCATAGAATCCAAACATATCTGATAAAGTATTAGCTAGGGAGAATTTCTTTTTGACTATTGTTCACAACCATGTGTCCAACTTCTTACCTTGATAGTGTAAACTTGCAATAGATTTGTGAAGAGAAAAGGTTTGGGGCAAAAAATCATGGCCTTTTGGGTTGGCAACCTACGAATGTCCTTTACTTTTTCAAACAATCTAGGAGATTCCAGTCTATTTTACTCTGGTATAATTAGTCTAACTCTAACCTCAGAGTCAATCACCAATCACATGCAGTCATTATCCTATTACTCCACGAAAACTGGAGCCCACAAACCATTCCAATTTAAAGGTTGCATTCCACTAAACAAGTAAAGAACTGGTGCGGTTTTGACAAAGATTGCCTTCAACCAATATTCACACAAAACTTAGGACCCAAGGTTGCCCTCCCAAGTCTGGCCTCCAAATTTGCCGAAAGTTAAAAGACTGATTGACCAAGAAAATACATTCATTTTGGCTACAATTGCTGCCATGCCATTCTAAAGAAACGTACGCCAACTCAATTCCTTTGGCTCCCCACACTTGAAAAGTGGCATTCCAGCAAATATAAAGCAAAAGAGAGGACATTTCACGCCACCCAAATAGAGGAAAAGGAGAATCAAAGCTTCTTCCATGGAACATTGATTGCCTGCCTGTGCAAGAGTCTTCATTTATAAATCTTCTTTCAAGTTCATAAAAACTCTGTCAGCCTCACCTTTCAAAGAAGCCCTAATTGCTGCACAAAACAAGCTAACATTTCTGATGCCTCCTTTGAACCTAACAAAGAAGCTGAAACCAGCCAGAAAGGCCTGGAGGAGTTTCACGAACAAAGTCAGATCGAAGCTTCACAACTTCCACGTCCCAAGTTCCATCAAAGCAGCAAGCCATCGTCTCCTTGAGTTCTGCTCGCTTCGTCTCTTTGCACCTCTCAGGAAACGCTTTCTTTCAAAGTATTCCTCCAGCCGTCCTCGCCGGTATGAATACAACCACCTCTACCATTACCAACACTACCAAAACCAGCTTCACAAGAACCGTAAGGTTATATATATAGACCAGCTCTATGCAGAACCTATGTCAATGCAAGCAAAGCATGTTGAACCACAGGCGGAGTCGAGCAGACGAAATGAAGTCGCTGGTGACAAGGCTTTGCGAAGCAAAGGCAAAGAAGAAGAGAGTAGTATTTATAGTATTGACGATTCATGGAACGCCATCGTTGCGAGATCACCTCATCTAAGGGGAGTGGATGAAAGAGCAGACGAGTTCATATACAAGTTTCATGAAGACAGAAAGCTTGAGAAGGAAAGAAGTGATCTTGATTTCCAGGAGATGTTGGCCAGAAGCGCATGAATCCGTTTTCATCTTTTTTAACTTTCATGTTTTCTTCTTTTTAAATGCAAAACATGAAAGTGATATATATATTGAAGCTTTGCAGGTTTTGGCTACTGATTCCTTTTTTTTTTTCTCTATTCCTTTTATTTTATGAGTGGACAGAGTATCTGTTTTATACTAAAGGGTTTTGATCATTGTATAGATTGGATAATTGTGTGAAAAGTTTCTGCAGATTTGTATTCCTGTTCTTTCCTACTTTTACAGGGATGTCTGATTCTATTTTTCCATTTTTTTCCTTTGGGAGTAATACAATAAATATTTGGTTGTGCGTTTTCTGATATATAAATGAAACATCTATGCTTGTACAAACACTTTCTCAGTCTTATTTTCTTCAGCATTTGATATTATGCCTTCTAAATCCGAACATTTAACTCAATAATTAATGTATAATCATCTATTCAATTAGAGCTAGGCAGTAGAAGTACATCTGAACTGCTCAAGGCTGTAATGATGTAGTAAAATTGCTGGAGAAAATACAATTAGAGCACATTCGTACAATTACACCAGCAACACAAAACAAGGCATTACAAAAGGCTGGTTATACATAAACCACAATTATAGACTAAGCTTGCAATAAGTGATCATATGGAAAAAAGGATGCACGTAGCAAAGTAAAGCGGCTAAACAAGCTACCACCATGTTGTAGACATTGTCTCACAGTCAATACCATACTTGGCAAGCATGTCTACAAACGACTTCCCCTCACAAAGAGTGCGCTGGATAACCCATCCTCCCAGGGCAGCCCGAAGTGTGTCTATCTCATTAAAACATGCCTAAGATTCCAGGGTCTATGATTCACTTTCTCAACCCAAGTAGTTGCCACAATGGAGTCAATCTCAATGACAAGTCGGTGCCTACCAGCATAGGGTGAAGAGGCGTGCATGCACAGAGCCTATTTAATGGCCATTATCTCCGCATAATTAGAGTCCTGTACACCTAGTGGTCGAAACAAAATACAAACTACATACCCTCATAAGTCCTGAACAATGCCTCTGCACAGAACCGTCAACGTTAAATTTGAATTCACAAATATTTGGAGGTTACCATGTAATATTTTGCGCGCATGTGGAGTGGGGTGCACGAAATATTTGCGTTTCAAGGCTCTGAATACCAGCCAAACTCATCAATCAAGTTGACTCCATCGCAAGCCCGATCCACAAAAATGATCGTGTACGATTTAAATGAAACAACAGGCAACCAAAACACCATCGTCGACAGCACAGAGATCAAACACCCTTTACAACGTCACTCACCG